TTTGCGTATTTTTTTTTCCTTAAGCAAACAGAGATCCATATTCTTCTGCACAAATTGTACTTTTGGTCAGTTTTGAAAACTGTCTAAACTCTTGCATCCTCAGGAAGACCTTTAGTTGATAGAAACTTATTGTTCTTGTTGTCTTTTAATATGATTTTACACACAGTCTAATATGCTTTTAGGAGGAACAAAAATTTCAGGAGAATTTAATGTATGGACTTTTCCTAGAAACGACATCAAATTGATGATATTCACTTGAGTCTTAGAATAAAGCCTTTTATCATTCCAGCTTGAGTTGAAAAAGACAACTTCACAAACATCACTAACCTAGATTCTCAGTCTTGTGCTCAAGCATAGGTACTCACCATCAAAATCAGTGGCAAAACTAATCGAACAGATTGAATTAAGTAAATATTCTCAGATTTATTTCAGAAAAGACTTTTAAAGGATCTGTTAAAAGAAACTTTGAATCCTCTGAGCTAATGATGGCTCTGACATTTACTAGACTAAACTTGATCTCCTTTTACTTTTTTTGCTTATTTCAAAATATTAAAGGGGTACACATGTTTTTGTTACATGCATACCTTGTATACAGCTTAAGCTGGGGCTTTTAGTGTGCCTGTCTCCAGAAGATAGTTCATTGTACCTGATAGGTAAGTTTTTACCCCTCACTCCCCTCTACCCACCCCCCTTCTTGGTTTCCAGTGTCTGCTACATCTCTTTGTGCCCATGTGTGCCCAGTGTTTAGCTCCCACTTATTAGTGAGAATATGTGGTGTTTGTTTTTCCCATTCCTGAGATACTTCACTTAGGATAATGGTCTCCAGTTCCACCCAGGTTGCTGCAAAAGACATTATTTCATTCCTTTTTATGGCTGGTAGTACTCCATGGTATATACATACCACATTTTCTTTATCCACTCATGAATTGATGGGCACTTAGGTTGATTCCACATCTTTGAAGCTGTCAATTGGGTTGTGGTAAATATTCGAGTGCAGGTGCCTTTTTGATAAAATGACTTGTGTTCCTTCGGGTAGATGGCCAGTAGTCAGACTGTTGGATCAAATGGTAAGTCTACATTTATTTCTTCAAGGAACCTCCGTACTGTTTTCCATAGAGGTTGTACTAATTCGCCATCCCACCAAAAGTGTATAAGGGTTAAGTGTTCATTAAAATATGATTCCTTTTTACTCAATTCTAAGAAACAACAGTGAGCTAGTACTGCTTATATTATCCTGGATTGAGCTTAAGCCCATTATCCAAAGTGAGGTGACACAAGATCGGAACAATGGGCTCCACATGTACTCATCAGCAAATTGGTACTGACTGATTAACACTATGGTGCTCAAATGATGGTAGTATTCATTCACCAGGGATTCGGGGGTAGGGGGGGTAGACCCACATCTGAGGGATGTAGTGAGCACTGTGGAGGGGAAGGGCATAACTCTAACCCTTGCTAGGGAGAGGCAAAGATATATAATGCAACCAAAATGTTCGTACTCTCATATTTTCTTGAAATAAAAAAATATGATTCCTAAATATAACTTTTCTTATATCTCTAGTACTGTAATGAAATTTAAAGAAAAAAAATGTGATCAGTTATCCATATATTTGAGATGAACTTTTTTTGAGAAAAGAGTAAAATTATTAAATGAAGCCAAATGTTTTCCACCCTGGCACACTGACCTTTGTTCAAGGAAACATTTAACTAAGGATTAATTGTAAGGGACATCACAATAGTTTGTGATGTTCCACTTTCCATCATAGCATGGACTTTAGAAAGGTTAGACAAACAATTTGCAATATTGATGGATGCTAATATATTTTTGTGCCAAATGACAATTTAACTTTGAGAGGCTGTCAACAAAACTTTGCAGGTTTTACACTAAATTTAACCTTCACGTGGCATTTCCTTTTTCTTTCTTTCACAACTTGAAACCTAGGAATCCTGAAGTTCAAACAGAGGTCCTTTATCTTGGCAGCTGTTTCATTATTTGATTGTGTTATCTGTAACCTTGTGAAAAAGTCCTTCAACTAGGCTGAGGGCTCTCATGGTACTAATTGCACCTCCTTAAAAATCTTTAGGGTGGGGTACTATCACCCTGGAGGGCATGAAAGATGATCAATTAAGTGTGGAAAGAAAATGATAGGACTTGTTTAGTCTGTAGTTAAAAATAAAAACAAAATGAAGTAAGCTTTACTAGATTTAACCTACAGGCTGGTAGGTCCAAAGCTCAAACATTTACATGTTATATTACACCCAGGAATACTGTCTTTTGTTAGTAGAGCTGTTGAACTAGGGATAGATAGGGGATGTACCATGGTAGTTTATATAGGGGTCCTCAAACTTTTTAAACAGGGGGCCAGTTCACTGTCCCTCAGACTGTTGGAGAGTGTGCACTGTGGGCCCGGGATGAGTCAGCTGCTAAGCAGAACAGGCAGTGGTGATACCACTACCTATGATAATGAGTGAAAAAGTAATTTCTCTTCGAGTATAATTGTTTTAAGGAGAGCACAATTTGTTGACTATTTTTGGAATGGTTTCTATCACTATAACACTTTGGAGAGGGTGCAATGTGGGAAGGTCCACATTATGCGACTCCTGGGCTATGCAGTGCTCATCTGTCCTGTCTCTCTCTGTTGTGCCAACCTTTCCCACTGGTGGCATTATTAAAAAGACGAGAGCTGAGGTTTGGGCAAGGAGGGCCAACAGAAGGAATGCGGACTGGGGTTAATTGGGCATTCTTGCTCTATGGAAGAGAGACAGCAAAAGGATGCCTGGTCAACGCTGTAGCTTATCAGCTAACCTCAGAAACTGTGGGTTTCAGCTGAGCTTCTTGAAAACAGCACATATGGGGCCAAAATGAGACCATACAGAGTGTCACCAATGGGTGGTTGACATAGGGATGACATAGTTGGCAGCCCAGAAGTGACATGGTAATGACTTGGCCTTTGCATCTTTTTCTAAGTAATATTCTTGATTGTTCCTCCAGTGTTTCATTTATTCTATTTTTAGTGTGTCTTAAGGCTACTAAATTATTTACTATCTATATTTAAAACATTTTATGAATTCTGCCTATGTCTCACAAGCCACTTTTTATGTTTAACACATACTGTGTTTTGCCTATATACCATGAGCTTACTTTTATCTACGCTAAATACTATTTCTGAGTTTTATCCATTGTGGTTTTTGTCTTCTATGGAAATATTGAATATCCTCAAATAATACAGAAAACACTCTCCTCACACTATCTTTCTTTTTTGGGCCCCAAATATGCCCATTTTATTTAAAATTGTTTTTTTTTTTTTACAAGCCTACGGCACCCGGTATTCCCAGGCGGTCTCCCATCCAAGTTCTAACCAGGCCCGACCCTGCTTAGCTTCCGAGATCAGGCGCGTTCAGGGTGGTGTGGCCGTAGACAATTTAAAATTGTTTTAAGACACATAGTGACTCTCTATGTCTAGGAAGGTACGATTTGACAATTTTGAAATTGTACCTTGGATGACACTGTTACTGTCAAACAACATTGACTTGTTTTATATAAGATTTGTTTACTAAGAACTTCTAGCAGACATTGATATATGAAAATATATTTTAGTGGTTTCACATATTTTGGAATTTGACGATCCTTTGAATTCACCTGTGACTGTCATAGGTGAGCTGTGTGCTTTGGCAATATTTGGACGCGCATGGAGCAGACTCTGGGTCTCTACTGCTCTGGATCTGGGGGTTTTCCTCCTCTCCCTGGCTCTGGAGAATACTCCTAGTATGGAACAAACCTCTTTCTCTTCAAACCCTATTCTCCTCAGTGGCGTAGGCTTTTGGAAACAAAGGCCAGGAAGACTTAGGGATACTTTTGCTTTCTGTCTAGCTATATGCTTCTTTGAGAATGAAGCTTACAGCCTACAACCTGATTGAATGTGTAGTAAGGGGAAAGGGAGACAGTAGTCAAAAAACAAACAAACAAACAAAAAATCACTTTCATTATTTATAACCCTTATGTATAAAATTGATTTAAGTTTATTTGTCTAGAATATGAAACATATCCATTTTAATTATGTTTGGAAGATTGAAAAACATACCTTTTGATTGGGCTAATGTACATATTATTTGGCTGTGAAGGGAAAGGGATGCCACTAGTATGTAGTGAGTACTGCGATGTAATAACTGCGATGTAATAACTATGTGAGTACTGCGATGAGAGCTCAATATTAATGAGTACTGCTATGTGCTAGACTCTGCATTTTACAAACATCTTACTTAGCTCTCACAAATATGTTAGGTAATTTGCATAGAGTGACACAAAATCTACAGGTAGCATGTGTTAAGGGTCCATGGAATTTAGGGCTGCCTGACTGTAAACCTGCTACCTTCACTTGCTATACTGCAACAGCCACTTACCAAGTTTTGTCATATACTCTGTCAACATTAATTACTCCTTATTGGAGTACTAAGTCAGTTTTTTTTTCTTTAAATTATTTTTCCTGAAAATTAGAAGTACTACACTTAGTTTATTGTACTGATTCTTTTGGAATAACTAAAAAAATTTTGGATAAAGAGTTTGATATTTTATCATTTAAAGAAAATAGTATTATAACTTCCATTCATAGTTTTGAATCCATCGACCTAAGCACACACCCACACATATGCATACAGGGTTCGTTTAAACAATTTATTATCTAGAGAACAGTTAAAATTGAGATTTTTATAGCTGTCAGAAGTATTCAAAGAAAAGAATGACCATGTGTCCTTCAAAATAATGATTTTTTGCCATATCAGAAGAAAAGCACATTTATTGTTCAAGTATATATTGTTCAATATATAATTTAAAATTAGCTTTTGAAGGATTGATGGCAGGCTTAAATTTTGGAAGTGAATTATTTGGATTGATACAGATCTGTGAAAAAGAATACATAGACATTTTAGTAACTAGAGTCATATGTTTCTGAAAAGAATAGAAATTTCAATCATTTGACATTTTAATTTTGTAGGTTGAATTTGTTAATAATTGAAAAATTGTTTCATAACATTCTTGTAAACACTCCATGAAAATTTGCATTGTAGCATTTTTCAACAAAACCAATATCAATAGTTTTGATAAAAAATAGATGATTAAAATCTGATTTGTAATTAATGAAGTATGGCCCATTAGCAACATGCTTCTTGTTTTTATTAGTTTCTTCCATAATTAGGATGTCATGAAGCCATTTATTGACAGATTTCCATTCTATTCTCTCTATAGGGATATTCCATTTTTTATAACTACAACGTTATTAACCAATCCATACATTTTTATTATTTATCATTGAATTTATAGAGAAGTAAAAAACCAAAAATATTCAAGAGGGAATTCATATATTTGGTATTTTTAATGTTTTTCAGGCTGAACGTGTCATTCTAGGAATTACGAAGGTTGACACGTTTCCTCATTCCTAAGTGATATAATTCATAAGTAAAGTTTTATTTTTAAAATTTAATTGAATAGATTTCCATCTAGGGAAATCTGGCTTTTAGGAAAGCAGTTATTTATTTTTAATTATAGGTGATATAGTTTTGGGATACAGTAACTACAGCAAGTAAATAGGGGCATTATTCTAAATTGTGAGTGATTTTTTTTTTTGCCACCCTTCTCAGTTCCATGTGAGTGATTTTTATTTTAGTAATTGTTATAGATGAATACTTTCATGATTGGTCATGATAGTAAGACTTTGAAATTATACTTTGTCTTTTATACTTATAAGATCATATTTACTAAAAGCTGAGAGTACTTTATGCCTATATTTTTAACCTAATAGTTTTAACAGTAATGCTTAAGTTGGCAAAAAGGGTTTTGGCAGCTGATGGTCCACAATTGAAATGTGGTATGCTTGTCTATTAATACATGGAGTCGCTGAAGAAGTGTAGAGGTAGCTGAAGTAATCAGCGCTTGAGCTGTGTTTGTTGTAGTAGAAGGATATGGGATTAGAGAAGTGGTTATGACTAGTTCAGTTGTGGTCTGGGTCATTCATTGTAGTTCAGGGAGTGGATATTTCAGGTCCAGTGCTGGAAATCTCTACTTTGACAGAGCTGTTTTGTGTTCAATGATAGTTTTTGGGGTAGCTTCAGGCACATTGGTATTCTTTGGGGTGATTTTAAGCACAGCAGTGATTGCTGGGGTGATTTCAGGTTCAACAGTCATTAATGAGGGTGGTTTTGAGTTTAACGGTAGTCTCTAGGGTGGTTTTGTGTCTAGTATGGATTTCTTGGGTGGTTGTGGATTTAGCAGAGGTTTCTTGGACGATGTGGGGTTTGGTGATTGTAGTGGGGATGTTTTCAGATTCAGCAGTGATCTTTGGGGAAGTTTTAGCTTCACTGGTGCTCTCTGAGGTGGTTTAGGGTTCAGTGGTAGTCTCTAGGGGCAGTTTGTAATTTGGTGTTAGTTGTTGGAGTAGTTTCAGGTTCAGGTGTTGTCTGGGGGTGGTTTTGGGTTTGCAGGTGGTTTCTGGGGTGGTTCCATGTTCAGAACTGTTTTACGGTATGGCTTCATGTTCATCATTGCTTTCCAGGGGTGGTTTGGGATTCATCAGCAGTTTCTGTAGTGGTTTCAAAGTTGGTTGTGGGGTGGTTTCCAGTTCAGTGGTGTTGAGTGGATTTATGTTGATCAGTGGTTTCTGGGGGTGGTTTTGGTTTTGGCAGGTTTTTCGAGGATTGTTTTGGGTTCAGTGGTGGATTCTGGGGTAATTTCAGCTTTAGTAGTGCTTTCTGGGAGTGGTTTCAGGCTTAATGGTGGTGTTTTGGGGATAGTTTCAGATTTAGCAGTGCTTTACAGAGTAGTTTCAGTATTTGGGGTGGTCTCTGGGGGATGGTTTAGGGTTCAGTGGTTATTTTGTTTGGGTAGTTTCAGTTTCTCAAGTATTCTTAGGGTTGGTTTTGTGTTCGAGAGGAATTTTGGGTGGTGGTTTCCTGTTTGGTGCTAGTCATTTGGTTGGTTTCATGTTCAAGGGTGATCTTTGTGGTGGTGTTGGGATCAGTGTTGGTCTCTTGGGTAGTTTGTTCAGCAGTGCTTTTGGGAGTGGTTTTGGGTTCAGCATAATTTAGTTGGTTTTCAGTTCTGAGAGCTGTATCTGGGATGGTTTCTTGTTGACTAGTCTTTTCTGGAGTAGTTTCAGATTGTGCAGCGTTTTCTGGGATTTCGGCTTCACTGGTGATTGTTTGTGGTTATTTTGGGTTCAGTGGAGGTTATCGGAATGCTTTCAGGCTTAACAGAGGTTACTATACTGTTTTTAGGTTCAGTGGTAGCCATTGGGGTAGATTTAGGATTTGCTTGGATTACTATGAGTTTAGATTTGATTATTGGGGTGGTTCCAGGGACATTAGCCATTGTTGGAGTTGTTTTGGGTTCAGATGTCATTATATTGGTGGTTTCTGCTTAAGTAGCGACGACTGTGTGGCAACTTGGGGTGGCTGGAGTCATCTCCGCGTGTGCGGCAGGCAAGGTATTTGGGGCCTCACAGCCACTGTTGTGGCAGCATTAGCCTCCAGGGTGGCCGGAGTCACTTCTGCTTCTGGGGCGGCTGGTATCCCTTCCTCTTCTGAGGCGGCTGGCGAAGGCGTTTGGGTCCCAGCGGCCACTGTCGTGGCAGCGTTAGCTTCTTGGGTGGCTGGAGTCACTTCCGCTTCTGGGGCAGCTGACAAAGGCATTTGGGTCCCAGCGGCCACTGTCGTAGCAGTGTTAGCTTCCGGGGTGGCTGGAGTCACTTCCGTTTGTTGTGCGGCTGGCGAAGGCATTTGGGTCCCGGTGGCCACTGTCATGGCAGCATTAGCTTCCGCGGTGGCCGGAGTCCCTTCTGCTTCTGTGGCAGCTGGCGAAGGCGTTTGGGTCCCAGTGGCCACTGTCATAGCAGCGTTAGCTTCTGGGGTGGCTGGAGTCACTTCTGCTTCTGGGGAGGCTGGCGAAGGCGTTTGGGTCCCAGTGGCCACTGTCATAGCAGCGTTAGCTTCTGGGGTGGCTGGAGTCACTTCTGCTTCTGGGGCGGCTGGTGAAGGCGTTTGGGTCCCAGCGGCCACTGTTGTAGCAGCGTTAGCTTCTGGGGTGGCTGGAGTCACTTCTGCTTCTGGAGCAGCTGGCGAAGGCGTTTGGGTCCCAGCGGCGTTAGCTTCCGGGGTGGCCGGAGTCCCTTCTGTTTGTGTGGCGGCTGGCGAAGGCGTTTGGGTCCCAGCAGCCACTGTCATGGCAGCGTTAGCTTCTGGGCTGGCTGGAGTCACTTCCGCTTCTGAGGCGGCTGGTGAAGGCGTTTGGGTCCCAGCGGCCACTGTTGTAGCAGCGTTAGCTTCTGGGGTGGCTGGAGTCACTTCTGCTTCTGGGGCGGCTGGTGAAGGCGTTTGGGTCCCGGCAGCCACTGTCGTGGCAGCGTTAGCTTCCGGGGTGGCTTGAGTCACTTCCGCTTCTGAGGCGGCTGGCGTAGGCGGTTGGGTCCCAGCGGCTACTGTCGTGGCAGCGTTAGCTTCTGGGGTGGTCAGAGTCACTTCCGCTTCTGGGGCAGCTGGCGAAGGCATTTGGGTCCCAGTTGCCACTGTTGTGGCAGCGTTAGCTTCCGGGGTGGTTGGAGTTACTTCCGCTTCTGGGGCAGCTGGCGAAGGCGTTTGGGTCCCAGTTGCCACTGTTGTGGCAGCGTTAGCTTCCGGGGTGGTCAGAGTCCCTTCCCCTTCTGTGGCAGCTGGCGAAGGCGTTTGGGTCCCAGTGGCTACTGTTGTGGCAGCGTTAGCTTCCGGGGTGGTCAGAGTCCCTTCCCCTTCTGTGGCGGCTGGCGAAGGCGTTTGGGTCCTAGCGGCCGCTGTCGTGGCAGCGTTAGCTTCCGGGGTGGCTTGAGTCACTTCCGCTTCTGTGGTGGCTGACGAAGGTGTTTGGGTCCCAGTGGCCACTGTCGTGGCAGCGTTAGCCTGGGTGGTGGCCGGAGTCCCTTCCTCTTGTTGGGCGGCTGGTGATATTTGGGGTTCAGTGGTGGCCACAGAAACTTCTATAATCGATTCAGTAGTTACTGGAATGCTGGTGGGTTCGTACGGAGGGGTGCTAGAAACTTCGTTGGGTAGAAAAGAGGTGGTGGTTGCTTTTGGAAGGAATTGTGAAGGGATTCTTGTAAATGGCTTTTTAAAGTTACGGCGCTTAAGACAATTTTTCCTATAAAAGGTTGGTGACAGAGATGGCTTCTTACAGATATTTTTACGTGCACGAGAGTAGTTAGGTTGATATTTTTGGATCTTGTAATTATGTGTTTTCGTGTAGTGTTTCTGTGGTATGTATCCATGTTTGCGTGCCTCTGGCTGTTGGGCAATAGGCCTGAAGCTATGAAAATTATGAAAGTTTGATGGAGAATAAGGAGGACCTGATCTTTGAACAGTTTTCTGTTGAATGAGTTGGGTTTTCTTGGGTTTTCTTTTACTCTCGCCAGGCTGTAAAAGGAGAAAAGAGTGAATAAAGTTTTAATAAAATAGTTATTAAAATTTAATAAACATCTAAATTTGGAAACATCTTAATTTTTTTTGGTGAAGTACAGCACACATACATAAAACATAATGTATAATTTAATGTTAAAAAGGCAAGTACCTATGTAACCACAATACAGATAAAAAAATAGAACATTCTCATTACCCCAGAAGACTATTTTGGCTCCTTCCCAACTTTTGTCCCTCCTCGGTCCTCAAAGTTTACCTCTATCCTAACTTCTAACAAAAGTGTAGACCTGTTTTTGAATTTTATGTAAATGGAATCCAGCAGGGTATATTCATTTGTGCTGGGCTTATATTGCTCAACATTTTGTTTGTGAGATCATTCATATTGTAGAGTGTACATTTTTAAAAAGTCACCATAAAATAGTCTTTTTCACAAGTCTACCACAAAATTAGTCATTCTGTAAATTATAGATCCTTAGGATGTTTCCAGCATTTGGTTATTAGAAATGGTGTTGCTATGAACATCCTCGTACATGTTTGTTGTTGTAGATATGCATGCATTTTCTTGGGGAATATACTAATTTGAATATACCCATACCTGATGACTCATATATATATCCAATATTAGTATATAAAGCCACATAGCATTCCAAAGTGATTTTACTAACTTGTGTTCCTTGTGATAGCATAGGAGAATTCTAGTCACTCCAAATCTTCAGTAACACTTGATATTGTCAGTCTTTTTAATTTTAGGCATTCTGACAAGTATGCAGTAGTATCTTATTATGGTTTATACTTACATTACAAATGAAGTTCAATCCTTTTATATGCAGCATATTTACTAGCTACTTGAATATGAGCAAAATCTTGAGGACATTATATTATCTTCCAGACACTTTAATGTATTATCTTTTACTTTGAGACTTACAATTCACTAGTCCTTTTAGGTGAGGGGGTGAAGTGAAATAATATGAGTTTGGCTTTTATTTTTTTTCCAATTTTAATACCTAATTGACTCAGTACTTTTATAGGAAAGAAGAATATAATTTATCCATTGATTTGTAATGCCACCTTTTTTAATAAACTAGGTGTCCATATATATCTGGGTCTGTTTCTGGGCTATTTTGTGTCAGTGGTGTCCTTATGTTTTGCCAAAACCATGCTTCACAATTAGTCTGGCTTTATAACGTCTTAATCAGTAGAGCATGTTCAATACTTTTTTTTCCTTCTTCCAGGAGTATCTTGGTTATTCTTAAACCTTTGCATTTCTTTATAAGTCTGATGATTGGTTTGTCAATTTTCACAAAAAATATTTTGGGCTTTTGATTAAAATTATATTGGATCTATAGATCAGTTTGAGAAGAATATCTTTATAATAATGAGTCAACATTATATGTTCATCTATTTAGGCCTTTAATTCTTTCAATAGCATGTTATAGTTTTTAATGTAGAGACCTTGCATATTCTTTATAAATATTTTTTCCTTGGGTGCTTCTTTGTACACTCATATCTTCTAGTATAAACAATAGAAAATATATCACCTCAATATAGGCTAAACTGCTGATATCACCAACTCTTTAGGAATGAAAGTTTGGCAAAGAACAGCAGCTAAAGTCCTTGTTGAAAGGAAAGGAAATATAGGCTGGGTAATTGAAGAAGGAATTTATACATTTACCTTTCAGGAGTTAAAACATTTTTTTCTCTTTATCTTTGGTTTTCTTAAAGTGTTTTCATTTGATTTCCTTCATATAGATTCTGTTTACATTATTAGGTCTCAACTTTTACAGGAAAGCCTGTTATATTTTTGCATTAAGTAAGTAGCCACTTATTGGCTAAGGTATGATACTTTATCATAGTGAAGAAATGTCTATCAGTTCTTATTTTATTGATTTATTTATTTCAGGATATTATGGGGGTACAAACATTTTGGTTACATGTTATGACTTTGCCACACCTAAATCATGATTTGAGGTGTGCCTTTTCCCTCCTACAATGCTCACCATGACCATTAGCTGTGAGTTTACAATCCTGAAGAACATTACTACTGTGTGAGCTCCATAGTGGTGATCAGTTAGTGCCAATTTGATGGTGAGTACATGTGGAGCCTATTCTTCTCACTTCAGAGGATGGGCTTAAGCTCTATCCAGGAAAATATAAGAGGTGTTTGATCACCATCATTTTTTATAGTTGAGTAATATTCCAATGTATGTATTGTGTACATATACCAAATTTTCTTTCTTTTTTTTTTGAGGCAGAGTCTTGCTTTGTTGCCCAGGCTAGAGTGAGTGCCGTGGCATCAGCCTAGCTCACAGCAACCTCACACCCCTGGGCTCAAGCAATCCTTCTGCCTTAGCCCCCCGAGTAGCTGGAACTACAGGCATGTACCACCATGCCCAGCTAATTTTTTCTCTATATATTAGTTGGCCAATTAATTTGTTTCTATTTATAGTAGAGACGGGGTCTCGCTCTTGCTCAGGCTGGTTTTGAACTCCTGACCTCGAGCAATCTGCCCGCCTCCCAGAGTGCTAGGATTACAAGCGTGAGCCACCACACCTGGCCCATATACCAAATTTTATTAATCCACTCATGAATTGGCGGGCACTTGGGTTGTTTCCATATCCTTGGAATAGTGAATTGTGCTGCCATAAACATTCGAGTGCAGATGTCTTTATTTATAGAATGCATGGGAGTTAAAGTTTTCAAAAGCTTTTCTATATCTATAGAGATGCCATCTAAAATTCTCTTCAACTTTTAGTATAAATTATTATATGATATTGAATCACCCTTGAACTGAACTCTACTTTTTCATTCCATATCATTGTAATATGTTGGTAGATTCTATTTATTAACATTTTATTTAGGATCTTTGCCTTGATATTTAAAAGTAAAATTGATCTATAGTTTTCTTGGAGAATATCTGTCAGTTTGGGGGATCTAAATTATACTCATTTAACAAAGAATTTGGATGATTACCTTTTTCTTTTTCTTTTTCTTTTTTTTTTTTTTTTTTGAGACAGAGTCTCACTTTGTTGCCCAGGCTAGAGTGAGTGCCGTGGCGTCAGCCTGGCTCACAGCAACCTCAATCTCCGGGGCTCAGCGATCCTACTGCCCAGCCTCCGGAGTAGCTGGGACTACAGGCATGCGCCACCATGCCCGGCTAATTTTTTGTATATATATTTTTAGTTGGTCAATTAATTTATTTCTATTTTTGGTAGAGAGGGGGTCTCGCTCAGGCTGGTTTCGAACTCCTGACCTTGAGCAATCCGCCCGCCTCGGCCTCTCAAAGTGCTAGGATTACGGGCGTGAGCCACCACGCCCGGCTGATTACCTTTTTCTATGTGCTCAGATACTACAAGAAGCTTTGAGACTTCTAGTCTTTGAAGGTATTGTAGAATCTCCTTATGAAATCACAAGGATCAAGAAATGTTTTTGTGTAGGGGAACTCTAATGCGTCTTTTATTTTTCCTATGGTAGTTTATCTGTTTAGACTTTCTGTCTCTCCTGGGGAAAATTTTGATAAGTTGTTTTTATAGCCAAGTACTCCATTTAATCAATGCATTCAAATTTATTTGCATAGCTTATATAAAATATCTTCTTAAAATGTGATACACACACACACACACACACACACACACACGGAAGTACTATACAGCCATAAAAAGAATGAAATCTTGTTATTTGCAGCCACATGGTTGGAACTGAAGGTGGTCACTATGTTAAGTGAAATAAGCCAGGCACAGAAAAGCAAATATTGTTCGTCCTCACTCATATGTGGGAGCTAAAAAGTTGAACTCATGGAGGTAGAGAGTAGAATGATAGATGCCAGATGATGAGAAGGGTGTGTGTGTTGGGGGTGGGTAAGAAGAGGGGTCGATAAATAGTTGCAAACATGCAGTTAGATAGAAGGAATAAATTCCAATGTTCCATCGCATAATAGGTTGACTGTAGTTGACGACAATGTGTTGGATATTTCAAAATAGCTAGAAGAGAGGACTTGAGATCTTCCCAACACACAGAAATGATAAATACAGGGGTGATGGATATACTAAATATCCTGAATTGATCATTACACAGTCTGTATGTAAAAAAATACCACATGTACTCCATAAATATGTGCAATATTATATATCCATAAAAACTAAAAAAGCCTCTTAAGAAGAAAGATGGTTTTTTCATCCTGTTCCTTTGTTTTGTTTTTTGTTTTTGTCCATGTAAGTTTTATTTGCCAAAGTAAAACAGATTTATACCATATCATACAACAAAAAGATTAAGTATAATGATAAGGTGAAAGATCTATAATCTATACTTTATATCAGCAGTTGGAAATACAAATCATAATTGCTATAGTTTTGAGTACCTACTGTATGCAAGAGTCCACACTAAATAGTTCACATACTAGCTGACTACTACTTTTTATCTTGCCAGCCATCATGGAAGGCTGATATCATTCATGTTTAACAGAGGATGTAACTGATAATTTTTGTTCTAAAGAGAGAAACCTGGTATTTGAGTAGAGGATTTTCTATCTCTATTTTAAAAATTTTATTTCAGAATATTATAGGGATACAAACACTTTGGTTACATAAATTGCTTTTGTACCATTTGAGTTAAAGTTATAACGTGTGTTCATCACCCAGATAGTGTACATTGTACCCATTAGGTGTGAATTTACCCATCACCTCCCCTCCTCCTCCTACCTGCTTGATTTCTGATGAATGTTATTTCAGTATGTGCACATAATTGTTAATTAATTAGCTCCAATTTAATGGTGAGTACATGTGGTGTTTGTTTGTCCATTCTTGTAATACTTCATTTGGAAGAATGGTTTCCAGTTCCATCCAGGTTAATAAAAGAGCTACTAATTTACCATTTGTCTTTTTGGCTGAGTAGTACTCCATGGTATATAAATATATCACATTTTATTAATCTACTCATTTATTGATGGGCATTTGGGTTGTTTCCACATATTTGCAATTGTGAATTGTGCTGCTGTTAGCATTCGAGAGCAGGATTCTTTTTTATAGAATGTTTGTTTTCCCTTTGGGTGAATACCCTTTAGGAGAATTACTGGATCAAATGGAAAATCTACTTTTAGTTCTTTGAGGTATCTCCATACTACTTTTCATAGAGGTTATACTAGTTTGTAGTCCCACCAGCAGTGTATGAGTGTTTCTATCTCTCTGCATCCATGCCAGCATTTGTTGTTTTGGGACTTTTTTTTTTGTTTGTTTTGATAAAAAGCCATTCTTACTGGAGTTAAGTGTTATCTCATTGTGGTTTTGATTTGCATTTCCCTGATGATTAGAGATGTTGAGCATTTTTCATATTTTTGGGGCCATTAGTCTATCTTCTTTTGAAAAGTTTCTGTTCATGTCCTTTGCCCACTTTTTAATGGAGTTGTTTGATTTTTTTTTCTTGCTGATTTGCTTGAGTTCTATATGGATTCTAGTTATCAGCCCTTTATTAGATATGTAGCATGCAGATATATTCTCCCATTCTCCAGGTTGTCTCTTTATTGATTATTTCCTTGGCTGTGCAGAAGGTTTTTAATTTGATCAGGTCCCATTTATTTATTTTTGTTGTTGATGTGATTGCTTTTGAGTTGTCTTCATAAATTCTTTGCCTAGGCTGATATCTATAAGAGTTTTTCCAACATTTTCTTCTGGAATTCTTATGGTTTTATGCCTTAGGTTGTTATCCATCGTGAGTTAATTTTTGTGCGTGGTGAGAGGTGCAGATCCTGTTTCAGTCTTCTACATGTGGCTATACAATTTTCCCAGAACCATTTATTAAATAAGGATTCTTACCCAGTGTATGTTTTTGTTTGCTTTATCAAAGATCAGATGGCAATATGAGGATGATTTCATATCTGGGTTCTCTGTTCTTTCTGTTCCATTGGTCTGTATCTGTGTTCTTATGCCAGTACTATGTTGTTTTAGTTATAGTAAGCCTTGTATTATAGCTTGAAGTCTGGTAAATTGATGCCTCATGATTTGTTCTTTTTGCTTAAGATTGCTTTGGATATATGGGGTCTCCTGTTGTTTCCTATGAAGGGTAGAATTATTTTTTCTAGATCTGTGATATTTTAATAGGGATTGCATTGACTCTGTAGATCACTTTGGGTAGTATAGACATTTTAACAATGTGGATTCTGCTGATCCATGAGCATGGTATGGTTTTCCATTTGTTTACATCCTCTGCTATTTCCTTCCTTAGTTTTCCATAGTTCTCCCTATAGAGGTCTTTTACCTCCTTAAATATATTCCTAGGTATTTTATTTTCTTTATTGCTATTGTTAAAGGTATTGAGTCTTTGATTTGGTTTGTAGCTTGACTGTTGTTGGCGTACATGAATGCTACTGATTTCTGTACATTGATTTTGTAACCTGAGACTTTGCTGAATTTGTTTATCAATTCTAGGAGTCCTTTGGTGGAATCTTTGTGGTTTTCTAGATATAAGGTCATATTGTCAGCAAAGGATAGTTTGACCTCTTCTGCTCCCATTTGCATATCTTTGGTTTTCTTTTCTTCTCTGATTTCTCTGGTTAGGGCTTCCAGCACTATATTGAATAGAAATGGTGACAATAGGCAGCTTTCTATGGTTCCAGTTCTAGGCAGGAATGCCTTCAATTTTTCCCCATTCAGTATGATGTTGGCTGTGGGTTTGTCATATATGGCTTTTGTTGTTTTGAGGTAAGTCCCATCTATGCCTATTTTATTAAGTGTTCTTATCATAAAAGGGTGCTGAATTTTGTCAAGTGCTTTCTCTGTGTCTGCCGAGAGGTCTTTGTTTTTGCTTCTGTTTTATGTTGTGAATTACATTTATAGGTTTGCATATGTTGAACCATCCTTGCATGCTTCGGATGAAGCCCAGTTGCTTGTAATGGATTTTTTTTTTTTTTTTTGATGAGCAATTGAACTTGGTTTGCTAGATTTTATTGAGAACTTTTGCATCTATATTTGTAAGGGATATTGGTGTGTAGTTTTCTTTTTTTGTTTAGTCCTTTCCTGGCTTTGCAAATCAGGATGATATTGGATTCATAAAATATGTTGGGGAGGATTCCTTCCTTCTCGATGTTACAGAATAATTTCTGCAGGATATGTACCAGTTCTTCTGTGTAGGTCTGGTAAAAGTCAGGTGTGAAACCGTCTGGTCCAGGACTTTTTGGTCAGAATGTTTTTATATTACTGCTTCAATTTCAGTATTTGATATCAACCTATGCAGGAGGAAATTCTATTTGCTCCTGATTGAGCCTAGGGAGGCAGTGTGTTTCTAAGGGTTTGTCCATTTCCTCCATATTTTCATGTTTATGTACATAGAGATTTTTATTGTATTTGGAGGAGATATTTTATATTTCCAGGGTATCAGTTATAATTTCTCCTGTTTCATTCCTGATTGAGCTTATTTGGAGCCCTTTCTTTCCTGCTGTGGTTGATCCAGTGAGAGGCATGCCAATTTTGTTCAATCTTTTCAACGAACCAATGTTTTATTTCATTAATCTTCTGTATAGTTCTTTTGTTATTGATTTCATTTAGTTCTTCTTTGATCTTGGTTATTTCTTTTCTTCTGCTGGGTTTGCGATTGGTGTGTTCTTCCTTTTCCACTTCCTTAAGATGATTCATTAGATTATTGATTTGTGATCTGTCTTTTGGATGTAGGCATTTATGATTTTCCTCTCAGGACTCCTTTAGCTGTATCCCACAGATTTTGATAACTTGTGCCACCTTTGTCATTTAGTTGAAAGAATCTTTGATTTCCATCTTAATTCCTTCCTTGACCTATCATTCAGCAGTAAGGTTGTTTAGTTTCCATGACTTTGTGTAGTGATGAGTATTGTTGTTGGAGTTGATTTCTAATTTTATTTCACTATGGTCTGAGAAGATGCATGGTATAATTTCTATTTTTTTAAATTTGTTGAGACATGTTTTGTGGCCTACAATGTGATCAATCTTAGAGAACGTTCCATGAGCTGATGAGAAGAATGTATATTCACTGGTTTTTGGGTAGAATATTCTATAAATGTCTGGTAGGCCTATTTGTTTTAGAGTTCTGTGTAAGCCTGTTGTTTCTTTTCTTTTTGAAGGATCTGTCCTGCTCTGTCAGAGGGGTTTTGAAGTCCCTGGATATTAAGGTGTTGCTGTTTATCACTTTATTTAGATCAAGTGGTATTTGTTTTATGAATCTGGGCGCATCTGTGTTAGGTGCATAAATATTTGGAATTGTTATGTCATCTTGTTTAGTTGTTCCCTTTACAATATGTAATGACCATATTTGTCTTTCTTTACTTTTGTTGATTTGAAAAGGTTATCTGACCTGAGAACTGCTATAGGAGCTTTCTTTTAGTTTCTATTTGCATGTAATATTGTTTTCCATCCTGTCATCTGGACTCTGAATGAGTCTTTGTGGGTTAGATGTGTTTCCTTGAGACAGCAGATACTTGGCTTATATATTTTTTATCCATTCAGCCAGCCTATATCTCTTGAGTGGGGAATTCAAGCCATTCACATTTATTGAAAGAATTGATAACTGAGGTGGATTTCTGTTCTTCCTGTTGATTAAAGCTTTATTGCTCTGTTTTACCTCTTTAGCCATTGCGGTGAATGGGCTCTAACCCTCAGTCTTTGCGGGTTTTTACACCAGTGAGAATCTACTGTGCTGATGCATGTATAGTGCTGGTGTGAGTACTTCCTGCAGGGAAGTTCTGGAGTTGGTGAATTTCCTCAGTGTTTGCTTGTCTTGAAAAGACTTAATTTCTCCATCAAATGTGAAACTTTTTATTTTATTTTTTTGGAGAGAACAATTTGTTATAATTAGCCAGAAATACACTGAAATGAACAGTTGACAGAATATGGCTCAACTTAAATCTTCCAGGAAGATACAAACAGGGTCAAACAAAGCAATTGAGAGGAAAAGCCCAAGATAGGTGTGGGATAAACATGAAGATAATTGCATTTCAGCATGGGTTATCTTCTGACCCCTCCCAGCAGTTCATCTACCACCATTCTCCCACCCTTCTCCCTCTGACACACCTGCCAAACCAAATGTCTTCTTCCTCTATATTGCAAGTGTAAGCAAATCCAATAGGACTTCTTTGGGATATGATATAAAGCCAAGAGAAAGTTTCCAAATCTATTAGGGTAGAAAGTGCACATACTCACCCCAGCACAGATGGTCATCATCTATGTGGAGGTCGATGCACATGGTTGTAACTTCAATCAAATTAGAGCTGCTACCACATGTTATGTGGCCCTATAGCAATGGCAATGTTCCCAATTTATTACACTAAATTATCAATGTAGCAGAATGCATTTTTGAGCTCCAGATATTCTAAACGCTCCTAAGAGGCTATTAAAGAGGATGTAGAACAGAACTCTACAACCTGCAGGACACAAAATTCTAGGCTGGCAGTTGTTTTGTTTAAGAAGATGGGGGCCCACTCCCTTCTGGCACATAGGTTTCTGGTGAGAAGTCTGCTGTTATCCTGATGGGTTTTCCCTTGTAGGTTAGTTTTTGCTTATATTTAGCTGCTTATAGCATTTTCTCCTTTACTTTGATTTTGGCCAGGTTAATCATAATGTGTTTTAGCGATGTCCTGTTTGTTATGAATCTTCCCAGAGTTTGATCATCTGGATCTCTGGTGATACTGGTAAAGTTTTCCACAATAATTCCCTCAAATAGATTTTCCAATCTTTAGCAGTTTCTTTTAGCAGTTCCTCAGGGATACCTATCATTCATATGTTTGTTGGCTTCACATAGTCCCATATATCTGTAAGTGATTGTTCTGCCCTTGTTCCCTTTTCCACCTCTTTAAATGATTGGGTTAGGTTTAGAGCCTTCTCTTTAAGCTCCCGAGTTTGTTTCTTCTCCTTGGTTTAATCTGTTGCTGAAACTTTTTGCTATGTTTTGAAAAATCTCTGAGTAACACTTACATTGCTTTAGGTTCTATTATTTCCTTCCTAATTTTTTCAAGCTCTTTAGTGACTTTTTCATTAATTTCATTAATTTCTAAAATTTTTGGTTTTCAACTTTCTCTTTAATTCCATTCATCTTATTTGCCATCCATATTCTGAATTCCAGTTCTGTCATTTCAATAATTTCCTTGTAGTGGGAGTTCACTGCTGTAGCTCTGTTGTGATCCCATGGGAGGTGTTGACGTGTTTTGATTTTTCATGTTGGCAGGGTTTTTTTTCCTTGTTTCTTCTCATCTGAACCATCTTTTCTGATTCTGGTTTAATAGGTTTGTAGGACTCCTGTTCCTTGCTGGGATCTCTCTATATTAGTTGTAGGATGTTCAAGTTGAGAGCTGGACGAGACTTTCTTCATTGAGGCTGGTGGTGTGGGGATTGCTCTACCCAGGATCTCCCCACAGAGGTAATTGTAGTAGGTGGACAAGGTTGCCATGGGTTCCCAGGTTGTGGGCATTTGCTCCAAGCAGGTCATAGTGTGCTGGCAGCTTGAGGCTGGGGGGGGGGGTGATGTCCCTGGAAGGGCATTGGACTTTGGAGCAGCTCTTTCAGCCCTGCTTTGGTGGTGGAGGCTCTAGAGTGGGGACTTGAGGTCCAGGTGCAGTGCTGGAGACTTGGGGATGGTTCTTGGGCTTGGCGACAGTTCTGGAGGCAGGGGGCGCAGAGCCTCAGGCTCTGGCTTGAGAGCTTCCAAGATGGGACTGGGGAAGAGCTGTAAGAAGAACCTCTGAGCATGGCCTCTGAGCCAAAAGCAGGGCTGTGAAGATGGCTACTGATCTGCCCTGGAGGGCAGGGTGGGGGCCAAGCAGGCAGGGGGCAATCAAGGTCCAGAGGGCAAAGTCCGGGCAAGCAAGTGGCAGGCTGCTCCCCAGGCACTGGGATCCTGCTAATGCCAAGTCAGGGGTGCTGAGGTTGGCTCTGGTTGCCCAGGGACCATGGGGCTCACCACTCTCCCCTTAGGGCTTGCCAAAGTGGCCACCCCAAGCCTCTCAGTTCAGAGACTGCTGTGCTTCTGCATGGGAGCCTCTGAGCTGGGCCTGGGCTGGGGCCGGAAGTAAAGCCTCTGGACAAGGGCTTTGAGCCAGTGGCTGGTGGTGCAGATGGCCGGCCGATCCGACCTGCAGGGCGGGGTCTGGGCCAAGCAGACAGGAGGCAGCTGGGGTCTAAAGGGTGGATTTGGGGTCAGGCAAGCAGCAAGCTAATTCTCAGGCACAGCAGTCCCACGGATGCCTGCTCAGGTGTGCAGAGGTCGCGGCTCTCTATGCGCCACTCAGGGCCTGCCGAAGTGGGCACCCCAAGCCTCTATGTTTGGAACCGCTGTCCCCGGCGTGAGAGCCTCTGAGCTGGGACTGGGGTGGAACCAGAAGCAAAGCCCCTGAGCTGGGGCTCTGAGCAAGAAGCAGGGCTGTGCAGATGGCGGGCCAAACCAACCTGGAGGGCGGGGTCAGGGCTAGCAGGCCGGGAGCAGCTGGGCCGGAGGGTGGGTGCGTGCGGAGCAAGCAGCAGCCTGCCCGTTAGGCACAAAGGTCCTGCAGATGCGTGATGACACGTGCAGAGGTCTTAGCTATCCACGCCCCGCCCAGTATCTGCGGAAGCGGTTGCCCAGAGACTCTTGTCTAAGAGCCTGCTGCTCTCCGGTCAGTTCCCATGCCCAGGCCCCACCGCATGTGGGGGAGGCGCCCAGCTTCAGGTCCCAGCGTGCACGGAAGCCACAGTCAGTGTGCCCTTGGGGCGGTGCACTTGAGAGTTCAGGATGGCCTTAGCTTTTGCCCGATCCCCATCACACCTGTCGTCTGGTGCAGGGCTGCACGGACTCTGGGCAGACCCCTCTGAGCAGGTGGGGGTCTGTGGGGACCGAGGGCGCTGTCTGGCCGCTCGGGCCGCACTGCGCGGGTGGAGTGAGCCTGGCGCTCCTGCGCTCTGTTCTCCTGTCGTTCCCCTTCCCTTCACTGGTCTTGCTATAGCTATCACCCTGTCGTCACCTTTTTCACACCGAGTGTCCCATGTTGCTTCTCTGTGGATTCACAATGCTGCTGCAGGGATGAGCCCTCCACACGTAGGCAGCTGCCTGCACCTTGCCCTTCTTTCCCCCGAAGCGGCGGGCTAGCAGGCTGCCTCTAGTCGTCACTTTGTCCACCCCTCCTTGTTATTTCCAATATTGTGCCTTCCCTTTATTATAAATAAGACAAAGACTTCATCTTTTTAAATAATTTTTTTCAAGGAAAGCATCTTTGGATTTATTTGTTAGCATTAGCTTTTATTTCGTGGTATACAAACTCATTCATTTCTGTTTTTATCTTTTATATTCTTTATGCTTTCTTTTGGTTTGTTCTTTCTCCAAATTTTTGAATGTTTAATTCATTTCTTTGCTTTTTCAGTTTAATTGATATTTAAGGCTATTTTCAATATTTAAAATTAAATATATATTTAAATGATTTCTTATACTGATTAAGTTACTTTAGGTCTTTTATTGTCTAGGTTTTTTTTGTCTAGATTTGTCTTAATTGAAGGAGACTTCTTTAAATCTGTTATTGGTGTGTTTCTGTTCATTTTATCCTTGAATCTCCTCTAGGTTCTGATTTATGAAAGTTGTTCCCTTTAGTGCAGACCTTCTTTTATTTTGAAGGGAGCATTGGTTGGTTAGCTTACAGAATTCACAGAGCCTAGATTGTCCCAGATTGTCAGACCTTTTTCTGATCCTCTTGGCCTCATCAATAAATTAGGAACTTTTCACTTGGTTAGGGTGAAGCAGTCACTAATTTTGCTTCAGTTGTTTTCTTTAATTCTAATTAAAGTTATTTTAAAAATAAAACTGCATGTTATTTATTAATAGTATGCAGTGCCCATATATTTGTAGCTGCTTGACCAAAACATTAGCTCCTTGTGGATGTGGGATGCTGACTTCTCAGGTGATTACTTGGTGAAAAAGGAAATGTTTTCAAAATCATATGCTTAAATGATACAAGATAGCTTGATGAGTCTATGTCAACAATGAGAACACACCTGCCAGAAGGACTAGATGTTAAGATGGCAAGTACAAATGGCATGCAGCTACTAATGTAGTCAGTACTATAAATTGTGGAAACCTTCTCTAGATTGAATATAAGTCAACATAAATTATGCGTGAATTTTTACAGACAAGATCCATTCAGACTTGAAAACCAAAGGGAAAGCTTATCTCCAAATTAAGACTCAACTCTTTACTTTTAAATAAAGGAGAGCAAAGAAAATGAAAATGCAACCCAACTTTCATTTCAAAGAAAAATCATACTGTGGTTGGCGGTTCTGAGCCCAGGGACACATGGGTCCCTCTTCTTTGTTGATGCACTCTGGCATCATCTGAACCCTTGAGAGAACTCTGACAATCTCTGAACAATGTGATTTTTGTCATACAATATCATACAGAGTTAGGTGCGATTTGATTTGAGTAATAGAAGAGGCATGGCATAGTGCCAAGCTGACACCAGAGGAAGATGATTTTTTTTTTTAACTTGAACATCAATACCTTTGCTTCTTAAAGAAAGAGAGTGGTTGAGGGCATAAACATTTTACTCAAACAGCAACATTGAACTGAAGGGTGACAAATGAATAGCTCAACATATGGGTACAATTCAATCCTGTTAAGTGTGCTGCCAAAATTTCTAGCATTTGGAAAATTCAGAGAACATAAAAATGTTGAGAATTATCACTGTGAATTTGCAAAGGTGAATAAAATAAGGATGAAGAAGGATTGTGATTGAGACTTACCACGAAGCTGGAAGTCACAATCCAAAGTCCAAGAATCAGGGATGATGTTTTCATCCTTTCTTGTTATGCCCTGAAAATGGTCACATGGTTATCCCTGTTAGCCACATGGATGGATACATTGGGTAGGTTCAAGTTATTCAATTGGAAAAAATGCAATTTACATTTTTATGCATAATCTTCAAGAGACATGGCCTTCTGGATAACAATGATGGGAAAATGTTCGTGGATGTTACATGAAGAAATGGTCCATTTTTAAAAGTAATAAAACCGCCATATGAGTAGATAACAGTATTGCTGCTTTAAGAAATCATAATATGGATTTTTTGTAAATTTATGATTAGGGCATTTTTTATTTTCCTGGACAGTAAACTTAAATCATAGTCTTTCCTAGGAACATATGTATAAAGAAAATCATTACCCTATTTACAGGTGATGCAAGAACTTCTTGTTTTAAAAATTATTGC